CAGCCATGTTTGACCAAATCTTAGATTGTCTGATTCGGTCTGATATCCTACATGTGAATAATCCCGCCCACTATAAAGTGGTACTGAACTGCAGTGGAAACGCAAACCGTGCCGAGCTGAACCGTGCCGTACTGAGTCGTACCACGCAGTGGAAAAGCGCCATTTGTGGCGGTCAATGTGGATATTGTGGATGAGTTCTTCTGTCATCACGTTCTATTAGTTCTACAGCTTCAGTTTCGGAACTTTCACGCTTAGTAACACATACAGCTGTTCCCTCACCACAGTGCAGCAGTGAAAAGAGACCCCTTTCAAACAGTGTCACGTTCCGAACGTTGTTTAAGTGACATACACCGGTATTGCGGTATTTTAAAAATTCATATCATAACAAAAATAAACACCGGTATTCGGTATGAACCGGTATACTGCCCAGCACTAGACACTAAAGCAATAAGCCCCAGGAATCTGTAGTTTAGTGATTTCAGAACAACTGAACTGGCTCAGCCAATCATAATCCAGGACTGAAACTATCTGTTTTATTAATAAATGATAGGTTAATTATCAGTGGGGTATAGATGTGAAGCACTCCTCCCTGTAGGAGTGTTTGGTTAGACTGGCGTCGGTCATGTTGACGAGGTGTGTGTGTTTTCAGGGTTACGTGTTGAGCTCCATCGAGGGCAGAGTCGCTGTGGAGTATCTGGACCCCAGTCTGGAGGTGCAGAAGAAGAAATACGCCTTCAAGTGCCACAGACTGAAGGAGAACGGCATCGAGCAGGTCTTTCCGGTCAACGCCATCTCCTTCCACAGCGTCCACAACACGTTTGCCACCGGTACCCATCCACATACTCACGCCACGCTCTTTATTACTGTTACTGCCAGAATTACTCGAATGTTTGCTTATTAGCTTTCATTAAACTAGAGAATATTTGTATGCAGATTATGAACAGATGCAGTGTTCAGTAGCATATTAGTGTGAGTCTGGAGTTTGCCTGACCAGTGATGGATGGGAAACCTGTTTGAAACAGTCATTATTTTGTGGTGCAGAGACCACATTGAAAATTTGCACTTTGATAAATGTCTTTAATTCATCACAGGATCATTTAAAAATGAACCAGTGAATACAAAAAATTATTTACAAGTTCAGAGAAACAGTGAAGTTACAGAATGTAAAATAAACACTTTCCCTTATACATGCAGTTTTTGTTGGTGTAACCCACTGACTCAGACTGAGAAATGACTTTGTGTGTGTCCGTGTGTCTGTCTGTCCGTGTGTGTGTGTCTGTCTGTCTGTCCGTGTGTGTGTGTGTGTGTCTATCTGTCTGTCTGTGTGTGTGTCTAAGGGGTAGGGTTAGGTGTAGGGTTTGTGTAGGGCAATAGAAAATACAGTTTGTACAGTATAAAAACCATTACGCCTATGGAATGTCCACATTTAGATAGCTAAGTAAACGTGTGTGTGTGTGTGTGTGTGTATCAGGGCGGAGGCTGTCGGTTCCTGCGTTACGACTGTACGGTCGAGTCTCCCAGGAAGGGCTGGTCGTTCATACATCCGGGCCGTCTGACGCACTATCACGAGGGGCTTCCCGTCACGCGAGGAACACGATACATCATGGTGTCATTCGTTGACCCTTGAAGCTCACGTGAACTCTGTCTGTCTGTGTGTGTGTTTGTGTTTGTTTCTCTGTAAATTAACAAACGAGAGGTTACATATGAGCGGATCGTCACAGATCCGAGGCCAGACATTCACTCCTTCAACACAAATCAACCTTAAAGCTTGATGAGAAGAGTATTTTTACTTGATTTCATAGAATAATTGAATCACAGATGTTTTTTTTAAAGAGCTTTAGTCCTCAATTAGCTTTTGTACTCGAGCTTTGTACAAACCGCTTTAAATTATTTGTTGCCTTTTGGAAATAAATATTGGAAACAAGCTGGTGTCATTCACTCTATTATTACTTTAAGTTCTAAAAGTAGATTCTTTATAATTTTTCCAGAATCGTATGTAATTTAAAGCACAAATTGAGCAGTTAAATTATCATGTAGTAGCGATTGAATGAAATCACATTAATATGATGTGCATGATCTGTGAAGTTTAAATTTGTCACTGGACACAAATATTGAACAATGTTGAATCAACACAAAACTTATTTCCTCTTGTCATAAAATGTTAATGAGGTTTAGTGACTTTTCCATCCTTAGGTAAACAGTGCTGCTGTTGCAAGGTAGGAAAACTCGTCAGATTTAATCGGGAATCCTTATGAAACTAATGACTGTCAGTTTTCACCTGAGATTTGGAGCCAAATTACAGGAGGGTAAAAATGACTTCAGAAAGATGGCAGCAGCATTGTTATCTTCACAGAGAGTTCAGTAGCTCACTTAGTAAAATCTGTGGACTGTGTCAATCTGTGTTGCATTAAATGCCAATGGTGACACTTCAAAAATGAGAAAAAAGCACTTTTGTGTGTGAAGTATGAGTGTAAGGGATTATCAAAAATAGAATAAATGTAGGGCGGGACTTGGTTCTATCATACGATGCTGATTGGACGTTGAGATGTGGGCGTGGCTCTCTAAAGTGGAGGCGAGTGCGGAGGATTGTAAGTAATCCTGCATCAGGTCAATAACGCATTCATCCGCATCCTTTAAGTTTCAAGGCAAGGCAAGTTTATAGCACATTTCATACACAATTGTAATTCAAAGTGCTTTGCATAAAAGGAAGTAAAATAATCATAAAAAATATGATAAGTAACAATAAAAACAAGGAATTTAAAAACGTACAATTATTTAAAGATTGATTTAAAATACAGTGCAATCAGTTCGGACATCGCACAGTATGCATTCACCTTGAGAACTTCATCTTTGTTTCCAAATGCAATGACTTCAGTTTTTTCCTTGTTTAACTGAAGAAAGTTCTGGCACATCCAGCTGTTATATTGGAAACAAGCTGGTGTCATTCACTCTATTATTACTTTAAGTTCTAAAAGTAGATTCTTTATAATTTTTCCAGAATCGTATGTAATTTAAAGCACAAATTGAGCAGTTAAATTATCATGTAGTAGCGATTGAATGAAATCACATTAATATGATGTGCATGATCTGTGAAGTTTAAATTTGTCACTGGACACAAATATTGAACAATGTTGAATCAACACAAAACTTATTTCCTCTTGTCATAAAATGTTAATGAGGTTTAGTGACTTTTCCATCCTTAGGTAAACAGTGCTGCTGTTGCAAGGTAGGAAAACTCGTCAGATTTAATCGGGAATCCTTATGAAACTAATGACTGTCAGTTTTCACCTGAGATTTGGAGCCAAATTACAGGAGGGTAAAAATGACTTCAGAAAGATGGCAGCAGCATTGTTATCTTCACAGAGAGTTCAGTAGCTCACTTAGTAAAATCTGTGGACTGTGTCAATCTGTGTTGCATTAAATGCCAATGGTGACACTTCAAAAATGAGAAAAAAGCACTTTTGTGTGTGAAGTATGAGTGTAAGGGATTATCAAAAATAGAATAAATGTAGGGCGGGACTTGGTTCTATCATACGATGCTGATTGGACGTTGAGATGTGGGCGTGGCTCTCTAAAGTGGAGGCGAGTGCGGAGGATTGTAAGTAATCCTGCATCAGGTCAATAACGCATTCATCCGCATCCTTTAAGTTTCAAGGCAAGGCAAGTTTATAGCACATTTCATACACAATTGTAATTCAAAGTGCTTTGCATAAAAGGAAGTAAAATAATCATAAAAAATATAAGTAACAATAAAAACAAGGAATTTAAAAACTTACAATTATTTAAAAATTGATTTAAAATAGTTAAGAATAGAAAATAATTATCCATAAAATACAGTGCAATCAGTTCGGACATCGCACAGTATGATTGGCAGAGGGAGTCATTTGGAGATAAGGCTAAGTAAATCTGGGTATCATCAGCATAGCTGTGAAAGGCAATTTGGTTCTTTCTCATTATTTGATTTAGTGGGAGCATATACAGGCTAAACAAGAGCGGTGGAAGGATTGAGCCTTGTGGGACGCCGCACCTCACAGGTTAGTTGTTCTTCATTGGCGTCACACCAGACTGTCAGTCACTTAATAACATTTACGAGTAGTGATGAGTTTAATCAGTAGAGAGGGGCGGAGCTATTGACGTGCGTATGTGTGTCATTATGTTCTCCATCACAGACACACACACACACACTTGCTCCAGTGATGGCTTTGGTGTTTCTCCGGTGGATCTGTAGGCTCCTGACGCTCCTGGTCGTTTCTCACAGTGTGTGTGTGATATTTTATTACACAGCTGACACACACTCATCCAGGTGAGCGCATTAACTCTTCAGCTTCTTCTCTGATCATCAGTCATATCATCCTGCGAGTCACTGCGATGAGTTTTCCTTCTGAAAATCAAAATGTAATTTAATAAGTGCTCTACTTTGAAGAAATAACTAAGCCTAAGATACAGAATTTAAGTGAATGCAGTATATTTACATTTTCCATGACTCTAATATGATTATAATAATCATTCTTCTTGTCATTGTGAACGACTGTGCCGTGTAAGAAACGCACGGTGTGTCGATTTAGATTTTTATCTCTTAATGTTTTCCTGAAGTATTTTAAATCGCGTGTGAAAACGCCTGGTATGATGAAACACAACTCTCTAATTACGTATTTCATTTTTCAAATGTATTTACGAAGTTGGTTTCAAACACCCAGTTCAAAACGGTCTTAAATCGCTCAAAATCATGTCCGCGCCGATTTTATTTAAATGTCAATAAGAGAGTTTTTTTTTTTTTTTTTTTTCATTTTTGTGGATGTATAAAGTCACCTTTGGCGATTAATGGGAGATTTTATTAAGTGACTTTTTAGCAGCAGCCTCATAAATCTACCAGCCACAACAGCGCCAAAAATGATAATATTGCAAAACATTTAGTAAAGAAAAAATTACAAATAAAAATAAAAATCAAGGGTTAGGGTTCTGTAAAGAAAAACATAAAAAGGTATGAAAAGCACAAATAAATTTCACCTGAATTCATACAGGTGCTCTAGCAGAGGAACAACTTGAAAATGATTCACTAACCACAAACAAAGCTTCATGTATAGCACACTATTTGCATTTCCGACCACTACTTTAAATATGTGTTTATCTTTCTTACAGTCAATGTGACTTCAGACATTCGTTTTGGACCGCTGTACATTACATGCGTCTTGTTAGTTTTTTTATGATTTTGATCTTGATTGCGTCTGATGTCGTTCTGTAGGCAAATATTGACTTTTTTCCTGCATTTCCTGCAGTGATGCTTTTGAGTGTCATGTTCAACATCAATAAAACATAGCTTTGTTGTAATTTGCATATGGATATGTTCCTAAATCAATATTCATTCAAACAGTCCAGGAACTTCCTTACGTAAAAAAAACCCGCAGGCGTAAGCAGATGATATGCTACTCGGAGACGCTGTGATAACGAGGTGTGTGTGCGAGATAAAGACTGTTATCTAAAGAATCTGAACTCTCTCTCTCTGTCTCTCTGTCTCTCTCTCTCTCTCTCTGACGCTGTGATAACGAGGTGTGTGTGCGAGATAAAGACTGTTATCTAAAGAATCTGAACTATATATGGCCCAGTGGTAGAGCATTGCTCTAGCAGCGCAAAAGGTCATGGGTTCGATTCCCAGGGAACACACATACTGGTAAAAAATGTGTAGTCTGAATGCACTGTAAGTCGCTTTGGATAAAAGCGTCTGCTAAATGCATAAATTTAATTTAATTTAAACCAGACAGAGCGAGGCGTTTTTTAGCGTTCAGCGGCTCGCTGTCATCAACTATACCGCCTTTTATTGAACACTGTTCTGTGGGAAAATACATCGTAAAAGTATATTCTTGTTATGAAACCGTTTAGAAAATGTTTCTTTAGTAGACAATCATTGACGATGTAACCTGGCTATAAATATTGCTTTTAATATATTTTAACAATTGAGTAAACCATTTGGAAACAATTGTTTTTATGTCAGGCCAAATTTATTTGTATAGCGCTTTTTACAATAATAGGTATTCTTTTAAATCATGTTAATGTTTATTTGATATAGCCTATGTATCATATGTATTCGATGATGATAATGAAGGCGCTTTGTATAGAAAACCATACTTAATTGCAACAATTTATGATTACTCGAGTTATTAATTCATATATTAGCCTACTCCGCATTTCTTGAGGCAGTTCAGTTAGTTTCTTCTCTTCGGGTTTGAGAGACAGAATATGCGCAGCCATTTATGTAAATACAGTCCCAATGTAATCTTAGAATAAAGATATCTAGCACTCTCTATTCTAATTCTATTCTTTAACAGACTTGCACTCTATTCATTTACTAACTGCTTGTTTTCTTTAAAAAAAAAACTTACACTAGCTTCTCTATTCTGTTTGTATTCGGTCTATTTGTTTTATTTTTATTTATTATACAATTAACAAAAAGCAAAAAAGGCCTCTAACACTCTATTCTATGCTCTTTTCTTTTTCTATTCTATCTGTATTCTTTTTATTTATTATATATTTTAAAAAAAAAACTTGCTACGCTGAGACTTGTTATAGCACTTGCGTATCATTGCTCTTTTGATGATTTTGATTGCTTCCATTGTCCTCGTTTGTAAGTCTCTTTGGATAAAAGCGTCTGCTAAACGACTAAATGTAACAGCCACGGGTATTAATTTTGTGTTGCCTTTTTTATTCTCAAAGACAGGTAGCTGCTGACTTGCATTTTATGAATCACCAAGGAGAAGGTTTCAGCTAAAAATCTTCTTTACTAGGAGTCAGCTGCATCTTGGATGGCCTGAGAGCGAGTTTATTAGCAGCAAGTGTTCATCTTTGGGTGAACTATGCCTTTAACTCGATCCGAACAATAAACACTGAGACCTGTGAGAGGCTAAACTCCACCTGATCTCTGTGACGGTGGCTGTGTACACGGCTCCGAACTCCAGCTGCTGCTCCTGCTGCAGAACAGAAGACAAGCATCAGAGTCTGATCACGGGACATCATCAGAGCAGCTGATCATCACACTCACATCATCTCTGCAGACAGCTCGGATCAACTCCTGCGCTTCACTCATGGC